TTTAGTTTTTCCTACAGGAAATCTCTGTGATTGCATGAATGAATGAGCGGATCTAAATGAATCCAATTATCTTGGTGATTTCCTAGAGATGTCTCGATCTGAACGATTAAATTCGGTGTCGGCGCCATTGTCGCCTGACCTCATCGCGTTTCTTCGCGAATCCATGGAAAAGGACCTTCTGTACGATCCACCCTACGTGTTCGTGATCTTTGGTGCCTCTGTGAGTACTGAAACCTTTTTTTAGATTCGAGAATCGATTTAAGCTCAATTTTGGAAATAATTTTGTTTAATTTAAATATGCTACAGAAATCAATGTTTCCTGAAATCTCGGTCATCCTAAGTGTATTTTATTGTTTGACGAACAGGAAGGTCTTTCAGGGTGTGCCAAGCTTTTTCAAAACGGTCTTTTGCATGATATAGAGGCACATGCGGGAACCACAGAACCATGGTTAATTTTTCCTGAACGGCCCTCTGAATACCAGAAAAGGGGGTCCCTAGTCACACCTTTTTCACCAGTTTTTCAATCAAAGTCTATTCTATTTGTAAGGGTTACTGACGTTCCTAATCATGAATTTGGTACTAATTATTCATGCTAACTCCATTTTGCGCGAATTTTGAAACGTCAACTCGAAATGCAAAAATTTGTCACCACGAGGAATCGAACTAGGGACCCCTTTTCTGGTATTCAGAGGGCCGTTCAGGAAAAATGAACCATGCTTCTGTGGTCCCCATATGTGCCCCAATGTCATGCAAGAAACCATTTTGAAAAAGCTTGGCAACGACCTCCCTTGTGTTTGGAAATTTGGTTGCCCATTTATTCGAAGGTTCCAAATTTGCGGTGTTTACCCAATGCTCGATTGGACATAGAGACAGTGGATATTGAAAATAACTATCGGCTTCAATCGCTCAAGGGACATTAGCAAGCGTAGACTTGGTCAGAACGGCTGTGGGGCACCGTAGTAGCGTCGCGACCATACTGATGACTTGGAGGATCGAATATTGGGTTGTCTCATAATTCCTGTTGAAGCATGCTCAAGAGCCTTAACAGCATGGTTTCGGAAACGCAAGCCCTTAATGGGTTAATCAACTAGGAATAAAAATAGGTCAGTGACTATAATGAATGATTATGCTTTACGATCCTCAAATGAACTCTGTAGCAAGGAGGACAACAGAGAAGATCAGCGCTGTGTTTGACCCAGTCTCTGCTACTGATAGGTACTGAGCTAGTGGTCCAATCGCAACGGCAAAGACGAAACGAGCTATGAACTTCAACCTCATACTGGGCCTGCGGTCATTTTTGATGAGCGCCCCTTGCACCCTAAATTGGGAGTGCCTCCGTACGTTGCTACCAGGGTATTGTAGCAGATACCTGAGCGCAGCCGATGCACCAGCACACGCCATCAGTATGGCAAGGACTGCTGCAGAATGAAGTTTTGATGGAAACCTTATGGTCCGGCCGACCATGAGCGGGAAGCACGCCTGACCATCTGGGAAAATCCATTCTGGGACGGCAAAAGCAGAGCCTTCCCTAATCGGTCACCAGTGGAAATGAGTCATGAGTCCACTGCGACAACAACATGCGGCACGTCTGATGGCTACCTCGCAGCCAGGAAGCACCAGCTCAACCAAAGCCCGAACTCCGTTTTCTGAGAATATCGCTCTCGTTTTGTTGGATTCGCTAGGTGGCCTGGTTTGGGAACCACTTCAATGTATGAAGACAAGCATTGCTAAAGTCAGCGCGGAATAGCCCTCTAGGCTGGCTTCGGGGTTGCGAGGGAATCGTCAGAAACGTCTCAGATTCTCCTTTCTCCGAATGTACGCCAGACCTCACATTGCAATGCCAACTCACCACGTTCTGAGGGAGATAGCCAGGGCCACGATACCTCATCCACCATATAGCATTGGCATCGCTCTATCGGACTATCGCCTCCCCTGCGCCCTGAATCAGCATCTGCTAGAGAAGAAAGTTATTTTCGACCCCCATCTTCCTTCATTCTGGCTGGAAGCTTCCAAACGCTCACTAGCAAATGCACGCATATCAGTGACCATGATGGTGGTTATGCTATTGATCAGTTGTTTCCTAGAAGAGATAAAACTTGGATAAACAAAAGTGTCGAAATTGGAACAGGAATTATGAGATAACCCATTACTTCAAATTACCGAAAAGCCTCCCAGCCGATCACCCGATTAGTTGCTACCAGCTTCCCATGAGAGGATGAAGCGATTGGTACAGTGATTGGCTTTCGAAAGTCATTTCATGAAACTTAAGTCTGTGAACTCAATACATTTGTTCGACGGCGACTTTGAACGGAAAATGAATTCATGGCGCACCTAAGAAGATAGTGATCGGCGCTGGATCCTTCACAATTAATCTTTCATGTTTCCCAGGGTTTTACGTTGGTGTCATCACTATTTTTGCAACGTATATTCACAGTCTTGAGGTGATAGTCCAGGCAATCATCCTGTTTCGCTCCTTTTGCTTTTCGAAAATTTAAGATAATGGGGATGGTTACATTGAATCCCTTGAAATCTACTGATAGATTTTTTTAGAAGAGGAGGGGTGGGGATAGAGGCAAACACGCGCATTTCTTCGGTGATGAATTCTATACATGATTGAATATTTTTTTCCAAACTTTTTCCTTTTCTCTCCAGAGCAAGTAACATCGAACTACCTAACTTTTATTTTTCATTTCTTGAGGAACTTGCAGTAAGCAGTAGCAGACGCTTTTATTCATAAAACGCTCTTTTTTATTATTATCATGAAATTTCAAGATGAAAAGGCTATTCGGGATCGCAGATATAGTTGTACTTTCCACAGGTGATCTTTCTGTTGTTAAGGGTGATCTTGCGAAGAAGAAGATTTATCCGACGCTTTGGTGGCTGTTTCGCGATTCTCTCCTGCCGTTGAACATAACAATCGTCGGCTACGCCCGATCGGACCTGTCCATTGAAAAGTTGAGAGAATCGTTCGAGAAGGCTTGTAAGGTGAGTTGATAATGTGATGCTGCCTAGGGCAGATGAAGGCGTCAGTGATCACAATGCCTGGGTATGGTACGGTTTCAGTCATGGATGGCGTCGTCGAGCGTTATGGTGGACTAACCTTGCGCGGTGAGGGGTGGAGAAAGGTGTTTGGGACCGCTTCCTTAGGCCGTTTCACCAATGATGTTCAATGACGTCAAGAAATCGCAGTTTTCCAGTCTTTGTGATCACCGCTTTCAAATGGCGTAGTTTGGGAAGAATAGGACTAACTACCCCCAGAAACACTCCTGCAGGCGATATTTAATCATTTCCAGGTTCGCGACAATGAAAAGAAGCAGTTCGAGGAATTCATAAGCAAGTGTGCCTATATTAAGGTATTTGTTAGATTATAAGAAACAGTGTGCTGCTAGATATTGGTGTGGGTTATTTTGTGGTCCTTTCCAGGGGAAGTACGACAAACCTGAAGGATACGAGAAGTTGGCCATTTTCATAGATGAAATTCAGAAGAAGAGCAAGGACCGTGAGTAGTTTTTGGTACCTCAAGACATGAGAGAAACACGGTCATTAGGTTATTGGGAATTGCAGCCACTGCCTGGTCTAGCACTTTTGAAGTAATTTTGTAGATGACGTGGTAAGTTGAAAGGAAGCCTCCAACGACGTTGCGGCGCGGGTGGGCATTAGGGTGCTTCCTTGTGTAGTTTGGGTCAAATGGCGCTATGAAATGGATAAGCTACATATTGTGATTTAGTTTAAGGTGTTTCATAAGATTTGTGAGTCCGCGATCTGGGGGGTAGGGTACTTATTTAATACTTAACGGTAGCTCCTTTGAGTTTATGTTGATCAATACCTCGCAGGTGAAGACAGCCGCTAGGGGGGGGCGGGGGGGGGGGGGGGCGGAGACCTTTATTTCGAATTTCTTGAGGAACTTGCAGTAAGCAGTAGCAGACGCTTTTATTCATAAAACGCTCTTTTTTATTATTATCATGAAATTTCAAGATGAAAAGGCTATTCGGGATCGCAGATATAGTTGTACTTTCCACAGGTGATCTTTCTGTTGTTAAGGGTGATCTTGCGAAGAAGAAGATTTATCCGACGCTTTGGTGGCTGTTTCGCGATTCTCTCCTGCCGTTGAACATAACAATCGTCGGCTACGCCCGATCGGACCTGTCCATTGAAAAGTTGAGAGAATCGTTCGAGAAGGCTTGTAAGGTGAGTTGATAATGTGATGCTGCCTAGGGCAGATGAAGGCGTCAGTGATCACAATGCCTGGGTATGGTACGGTTTCAGTCATGGATGGCGTCGTCGAGCGTTATGGTGGACTAACCTTGCGCGGTGAGGGGTGGAGAAAGGTGTTTGGGACCGCTTCCTTAGGCCGTTTCACCAATGATGTTCAATGACGTCAAGAAATCGCAGTTTTCCAGTCTTTGTGATCACCGCTTTCAAATGGCGTAGTTTGGGAAGAATAGGACTAACTACCCCCAGAAACACTCCTGCAGGCGATATTTAATCATTTCCAGGTTCGCGACAATGAAAAGAAGCAGTTCGAGGAATTCATAAGCAAGTGTGCCTATATTAAGGTATTTGTTAGATTATAAGAAACAGTGTGCTGCTAGATATTGGTGTGGGTTATTTTGTGGTCCTTTCCAGGGGAAGTACGACAAACCTGAAGGATACGAGAAGTTGGCCATTTTCATAGATGAAATTCAGAAGAAGAGCAAGGACCGTGAGTAGTTTTTGGTACCTCAAGACATGAGAGAAACACGGTCATTAGGTTATTGGGAATTGCAGCCACTGCCTGGTCTAGCACTTTTGAAGTAATTTTGTAGATGACGTGGTAAGTTGAAAGGAAGCCTCCAACGACGTTGCGGCGCGGGTGGGCATTAGGGTGCTTCCTTGTGTAGTTTGGGTCAAATGGCGCTATGAAATGGATAAGCTACATATTGTGATTTAGTTAAGGTGTTTCATAAGATTTGTGAGTCCGCGATCTGGGGGGTCACTTATTTAGATACTTATCGGTAGGCCCGTTTGATTTGTGATTCTGAGCTTGGAGTGCCGTTTGCGGTGGTACTTGCTGAGAATGCAAACGGCTTCTTCAACCTTCTTCAACTGCGAGGCTATTAATCACGCTCACTTAGTGCTTCCCTATCAAGTGGATGGTCCCACCAACAGAGAGTGAACAGCACCAGCAATCATCCCCTGCCCCCCCCCAAGTCAAGAAATCGAAAAAAACAGTTTGATCGATACATTTCTGGACATGTAATGAAAAGGAGAACTGGGTGCTGGAAGAAGGAAGAGGACGAAATAGCAGCAGCGGCCCGAGCGAGAACGCAGAGCTGCGGTTGCCGTAGGTTGGCGGTTTAGGGGTGCATTGCAGTGCTCCCCCTCACGTCAGATAACCTGAAATTAGGATACCACTCATTTGCTTTCAGCAAGCCCAAGCCTAAGCATGCACCCAAGCACAACCTTAGGCTCACGCGTAGCTTTGGTGAGTTGGGCTACGAGGAGAACTGTGAGTTTCTTCTGCGTTACGAATCACAGCTGCAGTCACTCGCAGCCAAGTGGCAAAAAAAAGGCCAATAGTGGGCTATTTAATCCGCTGCGTGGACAAATGGAGACTTAACTACTCATGACCAATCCTATTCTTCTGAGGGCAAGACTATTAATCCAGATCAATTCAGCTCAGAAAGTCTCAGTAGTGGAATGTGTCCTTCAAAATTCTTTTTTTTTTTTTGAATTTATTACACCACATTATTTTATTGTACTTGAAAAATTGTAAGCGTTTAGAGCCTGTGAATCGACTCTACTACCTCGCTTTGCCACCAAGCGTTTTTGAGGTCGTGACAGTCCGAACTCAGAACGAACGATTGCATGGATAATGGGCTGTGTGCCTTTCTTTTTGGATTGCTTCGCTTGAGGTGTACTGCTGTTCATCATCCTGTGATCAGCCGAAATCACCGGAAATAGACTTCCTCTGTATCAAATTTTATTCCTTTCTATGTTTGTGCTTGTTTCAAAAAGCAGGAATGTTGTTTCAGGGACTCCTGGACTAGAGTGATCATAGAGAAGCCATTTGGACATGATTTGGAGTCATCAGCTAAGCTCTCTAGTCATTTGTCGAAGTTGTTCAAAGAGGTGCGCTCAGGGAAAGTTGCGACTAATTTGTCCATATATGCTATGTGACACAGAGGCATTGAATTAATTTAGGACCAGCTTTATCGGATAGATCACTACCTGGGCAAGGAGATGGTGCAGAATTTGATGGTTCTTAGGTGAGGACTTTTTATTCATAAAGTTTAGGTGGTCATTTATTCCTGGTCGCGGAGTTGGTACACGAAGTTTATTGTTGAACTCTGGGACCCACCAGAATGACATGCTCGGGCGCTCTATGTCGCTATTAACTTGTTGGTTAGTGGCGTGGAACCCTCTCCCCTACTCCTACCTCATTGCCCCCTCCCCCATTCATATGATCCAGCATCATAGCAATTACTGGGGAGGGCATCAATGACTTTTGAAAGTGAGGTCCGAGTTGGCTGGAATACCTTCTTGCCGTTTTGGCAGTTATTTACAATGGAGGAATTTTTAAGGAATTTTTGGAGGTTGGAGTTGCCAAGTGGTTCCAGAAGCAGTTACTATACATGGGGTGAAGAAGATAGGAGGAGTAGGTCTAATGGGGCGGGTAGGAGTTTTTTTTCTGATTAGGCACGGCGATGGGCTTTCCACCCCCAAGGTGTGATCGTCCCTGTTATGTAAAATTAGGATTTCCACCAATGAGCGTTGGACGATCAAAGAAGGTGAATGCTTAGTCGAAGCCAGGGCAGCAAAGATGCGGCGAGTGCGGCGTTCGCAGCGAAGAATAGCTACGCCTCCCAGTGGCCTGGCAGGGCCATATCTACGTCGCTCGTGTCGCGACACGCCCACCCTCTCGCCGTCTGACGCTAGCCGTCAGCAGAGAGAAGTGCTAGCATTGGAAGAATCTATGATAATCACATAAATGCAGAAATGACAGGCAGGGAAGGGATCCCATTCCTCGGATTCTGGCCGTTTCTCATGGTTTTTTTTATTCACCAGTTTTGCTCCGCCCGCTATCGCGCGCATCACACGGCAGGCTTTAGCGAAACTGGAGGGCCCATGGAATATCAGCATGAGGTACTCCATTAACCACCTCACTATTGAATGTGTTAGACCTTTCCCAGTTTCGCTGAAGTCCATCGAGAATACGCGTGATAACGTCTGGAGCTGAACTGGCATATTTATCTCACAACTGTAAACATCCAGCATTCTTCTTGAATTCAGATAATTTAGCGGTGAATAGGATTGCTGTCAGTCTCAAAATGAAAATGAAATATGCCTATTTATGTGAGGAGCTAAGGCTTATCATTTATTTACATTCACCATTATTTAGAACCCCGAAAGGATTAGCGGTTTAATGAGTTTGGGCTTTCTTGATAGGAAATGAAACTTATCATTTGCTGAAGACTTGATTGAGTTTATGCAATCGACTGCTATTAAGTAAGGCTGGTCATACAATGATACAATGTGCACGTACCACTACAAATAGAATTTGTAAGTATTCAGCGCAAGCTACGCAAGCTGCGTTCTGACGCGCCTTATCAGCCTTTATCAGTTGTAACCACTTTCTATCACCCAACAAATGTCCCGTCCCACCCCATATAACACTTGTAAGTATGGTTGCTCTGGTGTCAATGCGAGCCAGGTAACGGAATCGACGACTTTTGCGTTCTGACGCCCTTATCAGCCCTTATCAGTTGCTATCGCTTCCATTCATGTACCACCAATGTCCCGGGACCACCCACATAACACTTGTAAGTATAGACGCTCTAGTACCAATATGAACGACAAAACGAAATTGGCGATGCTCGCTTTCTAGCCCCTCTTATCAGCTATTATCAGTCGTTATCAGTTCCTATCACATACCACTTGTGTCCCCATCCCACCCCCTATAACATATGTAAGAACCATGGCGCTATCATTGCTGTGACCCGAGCTACGAATTTCGTGACAAACAGACGCACACACACAGAGACATACTTAGCGAATTATATATAGTAGGATAACCTGCCACCTGACCATTGTACATTAATTTGATGGGCTGCCGTCTCATCATGACTGCTCCCCCTTTAAAGCGTTCGGAAACTCGCTTCTCAGGTCCGTCATGGAATCGAGACAACATCGCAAGTGTAACAGTTTCGTTCAAGGAGAATTTTGGTACAGGCGGTCGAGCAGGATATTTCGATAAGGCTGGTATTATAAGGTAAGCACAAATAAGTAAAAGCCTTATTTCCTGCTATACTCCACTTCTTATTCGAAGATCCTACAGGAAAGGATCCATCTTTCCTCGATTTGCTGTTTTTCTTGTGTTCTGGTTAGATGTGCACTCTTTCTAGAGACGTCATGCAGAATCATTTGATGCAAATGTTGACGTTGGTAGCCATGGAAAAGCCGGCCAGTTTGAATGCTGAAGACATTCGAGATGAAGAAAACGTAAGCGTAGAGGCACCTGTTTTAGAGTTGGCGATTCAGGCGATAAGGCGATTTGGCCTGAAAATGATGCGTATTGATTAGGCGAATAGGCCGTCGTTTAGTGGCTGGAGCCATCCACATCGATACTTGTGCAATAATGCACGCCTACTCGCCAGACCGTTATGTTGGACAAATTTCAAAAATTTTACGACCCCCCCCCTTCTAGAGGGCCTCGATACGACCCCCCAGGGCTGAACACTGCCGTTGGTACTTTTTGGAAATTTTTCACGACACCCCTCCACCACCATGAGACTCAGGAGGTCCACCAATAACGACCACCACCGTTACCATCAACCACCCAAGATGCTTCGTAGATTTGATTTCTGAGACAGTTGACACGAAAAAGCCCACCACAACCGCAGATCATTCTTCCTTAACACTCCAAGCGCAAAGGGTCAACACTAACAACGCCCCCCCGTGTTGGTGTCGCGGATTAACGCTGCTTCCCGACCTTGCGAATAGGACCCCCCTTTTCGTCAGGAGTACGAGCCCCCTCGTTGAACTTTGTTCAATGGGCGGTTGACTCTGCTACTCGTGTTCACCTGATCAATGCGTATCTTTTCCATCTCGCCTACTCCCTGATCACTTGGGTCGCCAACTCTAGAAATTGCCCAACTTTTTTAGCGTGAAATCAACGATTGACATCCCGTACTTGCAGGTGAAAGTGTTGAAAGCGATCAAGCCAGTGCAGCTAAAGGATATGGTTCTGGGACAGTATGTGGCAAATTCTGAGTATGCACCTGTTAGTCGTCTGTTCTTCTATCCAATAAAACATCTAATCATAAGTATCCTTATGTTTTGTTTTTAAATTTAATTATGCGTTTTAAAGTGTGAAGAACTGGGCGCAATTTTAAACCATTTTTTTGGGGGGCGGGATGTCGTGCACAGGCAGGGTGAATAACGGTCGAGGAAATCCTCGACCATAGCTCTCTACCATGCGAGAGTAGTGCCGAGAGTGAACATCCGCGCGGAGAGCACAGACGGCACGGCATGGCGAGTGTGAATGTCCGCGCGAGAGATCGTCTCTGATCGGGCAGAGAATCCTCGACGTGCCGTTGAGGAATCCTCAAGCGATATTCACCCTGGTGGCACACGATTTTGATTGGCGAACCTGGAAGAACTGAACGCGCAAAAAAGCACCTGCAAATGCCATCCCGAATTTTTGTTCCAACCACAGGAGAATTAGAACAGAGATGTCGGAGACATTTGGGGAAGGTCTGTTGACTCCGAAGAGAGATATGTTCCGTGTGGTAGCGACCCTCCCTGCGATTGCTAATTCTTCCAACTCCTTCCTCTCCTCTCCCTCTTTTATCCGAAATTTGTGTTGTAGTGATGTCACTTAGAAATTAGTGCACTGTGCTGTACTAATAATAATTCAGATCCTGGTGCTGATGCTGGATACAAGGACGATGATGATGTTCCCAAGGACTCGATAACACCCACCTATGCTCTAGCAGTCCTGCATGTACATAATGAACGATGGGAAGGAGTACCGTTCTTCTTACGCTGTGGAAAAGGTGAAGATCTGTTTTTGTCAACCTTATCCCGGTTTTATGAGAAAAAAAAGACAAGACCCTCTGAGGAGCGCTGAAAGGTTTTTGAAGATTTCTCACGGCTTAAAAGTGGCGTTAGTAAAGGTCCGTGGCTACAATTGCGAAAAAAAGTTAACAAAAGGAGTTTGCTAGTGCGTGTTGAGTTCGTTGGTTTTGTTGGCCGTAATAAAGCCTCGTCCACTGCCATCGAATGAACATTTTAATCCTTTTTGAATCCGTTACAGCTTTGAATGAGAGTAAAGCTGAAGTTCGTGTTCAATTCAAGGAGGTTAATGGAGATATCTATCCACCGGGTGAATTAAAAAGGTATGGTTTCAGATCCAGGATGATTTACGATTTTCCTCGACAAATTGTTATTGTCAATCAATTATTGATTTACTCATATTTATTTACAGAAGTGAATTTGTAATGCGTGTGCAACCAAATGAAGCAGTCTACCTCAAAATTATGACCAAGAAACCGGGCATGGGTTTTGGAGTTGAAGAATCCGAGCTTGATCTCACTTACAATGCTCGTTACAAGGTTGGTTTCCTTATGCGCCTCATTTCCTGGCTCGCCTAGGCGATTCACAGGTCTACGGTGCGTGCGGTTCGCGCAGCGGTCGCTACAAATTTTCCGGTTCGTTCGAAGGTTTTTTGGCGCTTCAACTCGTGGCGAAGGAGTTTACGAGAAATTAGGAGCGTCATTAAATGTGGGCAAAATTGCATGGTGCTTATGAATGGCCGCTTCGCGTCCGCTCGCATTAGCGGTCCGAGAAACACTCTATCAACTGAGAACAATTTTATTGTGCTCAACTAATCTATTCAGGATACTCGTTTACCTGACGCTTATGAACGGCTATTGAACGGCTATTTTGGAAGTGTTCATGGGATCTCAAATTAATTTCGTTCCGTACCGATGAGCTTGAGAACGCATGGCGTATACTAACCCCTGTCCTGAAGGAGATCGAAGAGAACCGAGTAAAACCAATTGAGTACAAATTTGGAAGGTTTGTCTTTTCACTCTTCTTCGTCTGCTTTTCTGTTCTTTATGCAGTTGACATAGCGATCCATAGTGCTTAAAATGCGTATTGATCGACCATTTATCTTGTAGTAGTTGTATAAGGTTAGTTATGGAGCCATTTTCAGCCGTGGACCGGATGAAGCCGATGAATGATTCGCGGTTAAGTAGGCTACGTATTCACGGAACGATAAAATGGGTAGCCTCCCTAATAAGTTGTAAATCGATAGGATCGTTAGTTTTATGTTTTTTAGAAAAAAAATTTCCCACGTTTCCATTTTGGTAAAATTTAGGTGTGTCCTTATAGCGGCCTTACTGCTTGATTGGTTCAGAACAGCTAGTGGTAAGGAAAAAGTCACCCGGATTCTTAATATTCTTCTTCTCCCTAAGTTGTCCGGCGCAGCGCAGAGACCACCGGAGGGTTCTTAATATTTCTTAAATTTTGTCTAGTATCCCGGGCCAGATACTATGTCCAAAGATTTACCCCAAATGGGGAAAAATTCAGGGCTATTTAAGCGGCCATATGTCCAGTTGGGTGGCCGCATAGAGCGACCTGGCCTGCATGGAAAATGGAAACACTCAATGCGATTTGCGCCATCAGTCATTGTATGGAACCTGGGCCGCTGGATTATTTTTGTGAAGCTGCGCTTTGTCACGAGTTCCATTCCCTGCCATCGCGATTCGGTGTTGCGTATTATAGGTGAGAATTAGCGTAATTGATTAACGCGCGCGGGAATCAAGAACCTCCTACTCTGTAATGCAGAGTTAGGTGGGTGGTCTACGTATCAACAATTGTAAATTTTACATTCATGCGGGCCTACGCGCCGTGTTGCTATTTTCCAATCTTAGTCCACCCGGTATCCTTATTAGGTTCTCACGTATTTGAACAGGGAGATCGTCCTCAGAAAAAATCATAATGCTATTTTCGCCCGTAATTCCGGCTCTCAAAATCATCATCACAATAAGGGAAGAGAGCAAAAACTGCCGTTTGTTTTGGTAAACATTGGTTTAGAAAAACGGAGCACGTGTTACGGCGTTCAAAATCCACCATTCATCTGTCACAAATGTTGACCAGCGGGAACGATTCTATTTGTTTCTCCAAGTGCCTTCACCAGAAACTTTCTGGCCTTTTTCCCACGTATGGCGCTAACACTTTTCTACTGCGTCCTATTTTTTTTAAAATCGTTTTGTCTCTACTCTCCAAATTCGGACGCTTTAGCACCGTTCCGTTAATGAGTCGTCTGATACGTGGTCGCCTTAAGGTGACTCATATCCATCGTTCCCTTCTCTCCGCCCCACCTACCCCCGATTGTCCCCAGTGTGGTTTTCGTATGTTTCTCTTTGGAAAAAGAATTTTTCATGAACGATTCCTTCAAGGCTTTGTATCGCACTGAATCCCACATCTGTCCACGCCCCTTCCTTGACCGACCCATTTGGGTGGGATCCTTCCGAAAACCCCTTGCTGTTCTGGATCTGCGGCGAAAACGTTATATGGATCACAGTAGTTGTGTCGTCGATGAACTTATGAACTGTATCAGATTGGCCAGTAAATTTGTATTGTTTTAATGATGTGTACTAATAAATTAATCAAATTCTTTACTCGATCTAACATTTAAATCATACGACGTAATGTGACATACATGAGATGACAATCAACTGATCAGCTGGTCATCAATCAATCATCAAACGTTACAAACCATCTCATTTCAAATGTAACGGTATTGACAGTTTATAAGAATAGTAGAAGTGTTTAGTTCATTTTTTATGCTGCTATATATCTAGTAGATTATTAATAACGGCTAATATGTAGTATGGGTTATGTGGGTTTTTTCTCGAGCGAATCCACCTGAGTAGTAGTAAGTAAACCGGCTCGACTTTTTCCATCGTCTTTATTACTCGCGTCAGTGCTCGGTTGTTGAGGTCCGGTTCCCGTTCCTGTGGTAGTCATTGTTCCTGTATGACCACTTCCCAGTTTTTCCTGCACTGCTGCGCCTGCCTACAACATTGTACGTGTTTCTTTGAACTCATAGACTCTCGAACGCTAGAAATCGTGATGGCGCGTGGGCGGAAACGCCCGTTACTATTATTGGTGTGTGTGTGCTAGGGAGGTAGGGCTGGGCATAACCTTAAAGGCAAAGTTCGGGCTCAGACCCACCTAAGAAGCCCTTACCATGGCTAGAAGTGCTGGGTACGCAAGTGCAAAGGTAGCGCCACCTTTCTACATCGAAACGCGTCACTAGGACCCTAGGCGCCATGGACTTCTAACAGACTCCACCAAACTTAACATGGTCCGCCCACCGTTCGATATCTTGTCTGCGTCGCTGCGTTTGATCTGCTATGCTCTCTCTTCTCGGACTTCTCTACCGCTCTCCGCGCTCACATTATCTCTCATCTCCCTCTGCCTGCCTTTTGAAACTTCTTCACAATGCATGAGTGTCAAAATGCATTTAAAGCAACAGTTCAGGAACGGTTTCGCGGGAAAAAACCACCAATAATGAAGTTGTAGATGAAAACCAGACGATTAATGTATGAAAAACTGGAAAAAAACGTCGGGGAGGGTCTTAGACAGGTACTCTCCCTCTGCCGCTCAGCAATGGATAAAGACGCACGTTGGACGAGTTGTCTGAACGTGCCCGCTGTAAACGCGCTCCATTTTTCAATCAATTTTCCCTGTGGTCCCAAAACGAGCACGATTGCCGACGCGTCCAATGACGGCCGGCAAGGGGGCGGGATTGGGGAAATCCCCAAGAACACCCATGTTTGAGGGACTTTCCACCCTGTTTTTGAGTTTCTGAGGTAAGTTCGTTTATTATTTCCACTGCATATGTTCTTCACTAGGGCTCGTGTATCCCTCAGTAGTAGTGGCATTGAAATTTTCGGACCCTCCCTGAACTGTTGCTTTAAGGATTTTCCATTGCTTCTCATTACAAGTCATACTCCATCGCCACTTTTCATTCACATAAGAGTGGATAAACGTCCATCAATTTAAGTCCTGAACCTTGCATCTTAAGCTCAGCCTTGTCGCGCGCCGAAAGAAGAATGCGTCAACCGTCGGGGGTTATTTTTTTTTTAAAATTTTCGTTGCCGATTCAGATTAGTGAAGAAACAATACGAATTGAAAGAGCTTTTTAAGCGATGCGACAATTGCGCACCCCGTCAACGGTAGATTGCATTCTCACCAAAAGGCCAGTCAGCCAATGGCTATAAGGTTCAATCTCAGGTCCCACATAATTGGTTAGCCACGGGAATTCTTACCAAAAAAAGTGTTCGCTTTTACTACTGGTCAACTGATTACCACTTCAACTTTCATTCTCGTGGCGAGAACCTGCGGGTAGCCAATCGTGGACTCGCCATTTAGAGGCAGACTTACTTTACGATGAGGGAAGCAGCCCATTAGATGAAGGTAGAGGCGGTCATTAATGTAGGAGTGAGAAAAAACCTGAGACAGCCCATGCCCCGAAAAATAGGACCCCTTCTTTGTCCGTTGATTTCCGCATTGATGCCACTCTCACTCTTTTAACGCTCTCTCGCTAAACGGCTCGAGTCAGACGGCAAAAGGGTGGGCAGCACCGGCGCAGACATGGCCTTGCCAGGCCATTTGAAGGATACTCTCGCCGCGGAACGGGCATGGTCCCGCGCCCTAAGGGGCCCGCCTGCCTTTCGCCTAGATATAGTCCCCCTTCCATGACCTCCGACCTTTCGTGGAATCCTCCTCAAAGACAAATTGGGGTGCTATCGACCCATTCCACCCACAAGGCCATCGCGACTTCTCCTTTTAGATATGGTAAAGTAAGACCTCGGCTAGGTAACGATGCTTGAATAATTGGTCGATGGAGGCCCGTTTTTCCACTTCACGTTGCGTGCACATCTGAAAAACGTACAAAGATTATGCAGTGCCTCCTTGGCTTCGCACTTGCGTACGTTCATAGTTAGCGTTTTGGACACTTAGAGGATTAGAAAATTCACCTGAAAAGGGTAGATATGTAGTGATTGGAAATGTAGCAGATCAGGATCTCCATATTCTCTTCCTCATCTCCTACGACGCCCTTCATCACCTAATCTCCCATTCATCCGATCTATACGTATCCTTTTTTATCTTCTCCCCTTCTGAATTCCCAGGATGTATAATATGAATGGAGCACCACGGTTTGTGGCATAGCTCACTGTTTGGCTATGCGAGTGTACTTGTTGGACCCGCGCCCAGGTTCCCCGAACACCCAAGATCCAGTTCAAATGTGGGAAGGAACACAGCTGACAGTTTTGGCGCTGTAGGTACCCTGTGCTTCCAAGAACCAGAACGCGTCGAGTGCAGACCACACACCACAAGTGACGACGGCCTCCAAGTAAATCTGGTAACCAGTGGTTCATAGTGATAGCTGATAGTTGGTAAATGATAGTTGGGTGCTAAGTGGAGGGGGGGGGACGCGGCGGCGCGGCGTCTTGTCCCCCACGTCACCATAAGGCTTAGCTCGGGAAGGAGTGGAGAGGCTTGAACAGTGTGGTTCGTGATTTCGCTTGATTTCACATCCAACATTTTGCCCTTGCAAGACTCTTTCCTAGGCTCAGGCTTAGTGCTATCCCACTTGAAACTCTGCGCCGCCGCGTGGTCTCCCCGCCCCCTCCAACTCACTTAGCACCGATAGTTGTAATTAGTGACAATTGATAGAAAACAACTGCAACCAGCTAATCATTTCATTGGCAGAAAACATTTACATTTTGTGGAGGCCGTCGTCACTTGTGGTGTGTGGTCTGCACTCGACGGAACCTTGTTTTCGGAAATTCGATTACCTCGAAAAACTCCGTTATGGCAGGATCGGCGTTGATGTCGTGTTGTAGGCGCACATTCGGATCCAAAATGGCCATCATCTGTAAGAGCGGCAATGGTGATGAGGAAAAAATCCAATGAAGACAAATTCGTTACCGTTTTATTGCAAAAATTGGCGAACGGCTTCCGTCCATATGTCATCTGGTACACGACTACCCCGAATCCCCAGATGTCCACCTTTCTTGTTAACTGAAAAATCATCGCTTTTTGCACGGAAACCTGCGGGGTACCCGAGAGCGGCAAGAAGGCGGAGTCAGCGGACGAGTTGCAGCGCGTGATGTGCGATGTAGGACGTACTTTCTATTCAACTTGACGCGAAATCACTACAGTACGCGCTGCGACTCGTCCGCTGACTCTGCCTTGTTGCCGCGCGACGGGCCTCCTGTCGGGTACCCGGTACTACGAGCTTTCGGAATGTTTGTAAAATAGCACATACTTTATAAGTACCGTCTTTTCGCGGAACTATTTGTTCAGGTGGCCTGTTCGATCCAAACATAAAGTCTCGTATAACGAAGTCCTGCAAGCACAGTGGACTATTACCGCCCATAGTGCAGTGTTGGACAAATATCAACCTAGGTATTTCCTCAGTACATCTTAGGCCGATGTCAGACTTTGCGAATCGCGCGATACTAGCGATTCGCGCGATTCGCTAGCGTCCGCGGTCGCGTTGCGGTACCAGCCAATTGAGTGATTCACTGGCCGCGACGCGACCGCAGACGCTAGCGAATCGCGCGATTCGCAAAGTCTGACATCGGCCTAGCAGATTACCTTCAAAACGG